CTGGATTTAAGTCTTTTACCCGTTTTCATAAAACCATCGTAATGTCGCATCAAAAGATGGCTTTCTATCTGTTGAAGGGTATCCAAAGCAACTCCAACTATTATTAAAAGACTTGTCCCCCCAAAAAATTGAGCAAGCGAAGCATTAACATTTCCAAACTTAATTAAAAAAGTGGGTAAAATTGCTATTATGGCAAGCGAAATAGAGCCAGGTAATGTGATACGGGTTAAAATATTGTCCAAATATTCAACGGTACCCTTGCCAGGACGAACTCCTGGTATAAAACCACCCTGTTTTTGCATATTATCAGCAATCTCCTTTGGATTTAAAGCTATAGCCGTGTAAAAATATGTGAAAAAAATTATCATAAAGGAAAACAACAGTGCATAAGTCCACGAATCGTATGCAAGATATTCATTGATTTTGATCATGACAGAACTTTCGGGAAAAAATGAGACGAGCGTAGCTGGAATGAAAATTATGGACTGCGCAAAAATTATCGGCATCACACCTGCTGTATTCACTCTTATTGGAATATACTGCGTACTTCCGCCAAAAACTTTTTTACCAACCACTCTCTTCGCATATTGCACTGGTATTTTTCTTGTCCCCACTGTAATTAAAACGACACCGGCGATAATTAGCAAAATAATAAATATTAAAACTATTTCAACAATTAAATTCTTTGAACCGGACACGACAAGTTGAAACTCTCCAAACAAGGCTTGAGGAAAACGAGCCAATATACCGATCATGATAATTAAAGAAATCCCGTTACCTATGCCCCTTTCTGTTATTCTCTCACCCAACCACATCGTAAGCAATGTTGCTGCTGCAAGAGAAATGACAGTTGTAAATGTGAATAGCGGGCCAGGATCCACGATAACACTAACCCCAAACAACGAAGGACTCGCGAGACTCACGCTAACCGCCCATGCCTGGAATATACTAACAAACACAGTACCATAACGTGTATATTGATTTATTTTTTTTCTTCCTTCTTCACCTTCTCTCTGTAACCTCTGAACAAAAGGAGAAACAACACCCAACAACTGGATAATAATAGATGCCGAAATGTACGGCATTATTCCTAAGGCAAACACAGAAGCTCGCTTAAAAGCTCCTCCAACAAATAAATCAAACATTCCGAGGAGATCATTACTAGATGCCTCAGTAGCGATTGCAGATGCGTCTACACCTGGTATTGTAACATGCGACCCCAACCTGTAAACGAAGAGTAACAAAACAGTATAGATTACCCTCTGTTTCAGCTCTTGAACCTTTCCAATATTTCGTAAACTCTCAATAATTTTCATTATGACCTACTTTGAAAGTTTCACGCTACCGCCAACCTTCTCAATCTTTTCCTTAGCCGAGCCCGAAATCATATCCACTTCTATATCCATCTTTATCGCTTGCCCCATTCCTAACAATTTCAACTTATCTCTTTTTCCAATAAACTTCTTTGAAATTAAATCGTTCTTTGTAATCGTTTGAGTTAAAAAACCTTTTTCTATGTAAAATTTAATATTTTGCAAGTTCATAACTTTAACTTCTTCTTTAAGAGAATTTATAAAGCCAAACTTCGGAACTCTCCTATAAAGCGGCATCTGTCCTCCCTCCTTATTTGAAGAAGAATAACCACTCCTTGACTGCTGCCCCTTATTACCTTTACCTGCTGTTGTTCCATGTCCAGAGCCTGGACCTCTGCCAACCCTTTTCTTTTTCTTAACAGAACCTCTTGCAGGCTTAAGACTGTGTAGCTTCATCGCTCAACTTTATTTAATTATTTCATAACCTCAACCTTCACCAAATGAGAAACAACCCTAATTTGTCCCATCACACACGGATTGCAAATTAGCTCAACAAAATAGCTCGGCTTGCCTAGACCGAGAGCCCTCACGGTAGCCTTTTGATTTACCTTGGTCTTAATAGTACTTTTAACCTGAGTAATTCTAATCTTTTTTCCTAACATTAGCTTTCAAAAACCTCTTTTAGTGTTTTACCTCTCCTTGCAGCCACATCAACAATTGTTGACAATGACTGAAGTCCAAATATAGTTGCTTTCACCACATTATGCGCATTGGATGAACCCAAAGATTTTGTTAAAATATCCTTAATTCCAGCACTTTCCAACACAGACCTAACGGCACCTCCCGCAATAATTCCTGTCCCAGGAGAAGCAGGCTTTAATAAAACCTTAGACGCCCCAAACTTTGACACGGTCTGATGTGGAATCGTTCCTCTAACGATCGGAACGCTAACTACATTCTTTTTCGCATTTTCAGTCCCCTTAGAAATTGCATCTTGAACCTCCTTTGCCTTACCCAAACCAAAGCCAACAGTCCCATTCCCGTCTCCTACAACAACAATCGCGTTAAACCCAAATCTTTTCCCTCCCTTTACAACTTTTGCTGTCCTATTAACTTTAACAAGAGTTTCTTTAAGACCACCCTCTACTAACTTTGCTCTTTTTATCTCCTTTCTCATTATTCATTCATTTAAGTTCTAAAAGTTTAACCCTGATTGCCTTGCACCCTCTGCCAAAGATTTAACACGACCATGATAAGCATAACCATTTCTGTCAAAAATAACATCCTTAATTCCTCGTTCTCCCGCTTTTTGACCGAGCTTAAGACCTATTTCAAAACTAATTTCCGTTTATTTTTTCCTATCACCTTTTCTCGAATGTCTTTCTCATAGGAAGAGGAGGATACTAACGTTTTTCCCACAGAATCATCGATAATTTGTGCATATATCTGTTTTAAGCTCCTAAAAACAGTAAGACGAGGACGATCTAAAGTTCCCACTACACGTTTCCTAATCTTATACCTTATTCGGTTTCGTCTTGCTTTCTTCTTTTTTTGATCCATTTTACTTTGCTGCAGTTTTACCTTCTTTTCTTCTTACTACTTCGCTTTCATATCTAATCCCTTTTCCTTTGTAAGGCTCAGGCGGCTTCATGGAACGAATCTTTGCCGCTACATTCCCCACTAAGCCCTTATCGATTCCTACAATACGAATGGACGTTGGAGTAAGAACTTCTATTTTAACTGAATCTGGCGGTCTAAACAAAGTAAGGTGAGAACGACCTAACGATAAAACAACATACTTACCTTTTAACTCTGCCTTAAAGCCCACCCCAACCAATTCTAACTTTTCTTCAAAGCCTTGAGATACCCCTACCACCATATTCTTAATGAGCGACCTATATAACCCATGTAAAGCATTTGAACCTGACGTATCAAGAATACGTAAAACTCTCAATTCCGAATTACTCTGTTCAACAGTAAAGCCGTCTCTAATTTCAAGAACTAACTCGCCTTTTGCGCCATTAACTTTTACCTTTTTTTCAACGAAAGTTACTTGCACACCGCTCGGAAGACTAATTGGCATCTTACCTACTCTTGACATTTTTAGTTAATATTAACATTAATAAACTCTGAACAACACCTCACCACCAACACCCAACTTACGAGCTTCTTTATCACTCATAATCCCACGAGATGTAGAAATAATAAAAAGTCCAACACCAGATAAATATTTTTCTATTCCCTTACCCTTATACACTCTCTGACCAGGCTTGCTCACGCGCTTCATTTCACGAATGGCATGAACGCCTGTCGCTAAATACTTTAGCTTAATGCATATCGTCTTCATACTGTTCTCTTCTTGAATATCATACCCATGAATATACCCTTTTTCTAACAGAATCTTGGAGATAGCTTCCTTTAAGTTCGAAAAGGGGATCAACACTTTTCCCTTCCTTGCCTGAGCGGCATTCTTAATTCTGACCAAATAATCAGCCACGGGGTCTGTAACAGCCATAAATTATTATTTTTGTATTATTATTACCAATCACCAACTTGCTTTCTTAACACCGGGTAACTTTCCTGCATGAGCCAACTTACGAATCATGTGCCTGCAAATTCCAAATTTTGCATAAACACCTCTACCTCTCCCAGTCAAAGAACATCTATTTCTTAGTCGGGTAGATGAACTGTCTCTCGGTAATTTCTGCAGAGCTTCGTAATTACCTTCATCCTTCAACTTTTTTCTTAACTCAGAATACTTCTCAACCAATACTCTTCGTTGGACGTCCCGAGCAACCACACTTTTCTTTGCCATTATTTCCAATTACTTGTTTTTCTTAAACGGTACACCCAACTCTTTAAGGAGTTCATAGGACTCTTCATCTGTCTTTGCTGTGGTAACAAAAGTAATATCCATACCCGAAACTTTATTGATTTTATCAATATCAATCTCGGGGAAAATTATCTGCTCTCTTATTCCCATAGAATAATTCCCTCTACCGTCAAAACCTGAATCTGAAACACCTTTGAAATCACGAACTCGTGGTAAAGCAAGTGAAACTAACTTATCCATAAATTCATACATACGAGATCTTCTTAAAGTTACCCTACAGCCTATAGGTTGGTTTTCACGTAACTTGAAATTTGAAATGGATTTTTTAGATCTCCTAACTTCAGCACCTTGCCCAGATATTAACTCTAATTCACCCTTCACGATGTCCAATACCTTTTGTTCCTGAGCCGCTTCTCCTACGCCTATATTTAAGCAAATCTTTTCCAATTTAGGCACCATCATAACATTCTTATAAAAGAACCTATCTATCATCTTTTTAACAACAACATCTCTATATTTCACAAGCATGCGCGGTACATACAGAACCTCATTGGCCTCACTATTTTTTTTCTCCACTTGACTCATTTGTGTAAACTAAATCTTTTTAACATTTGACGAATGAACTGAAAATTCCTTCTTCAAAATGGAACCCGTTTGGCTCTTCGAATTTGGCTTTTGATGTTTAACTCTTATGTTAATACCTTCAACAATTACTCTACTTGTTTCCGGAAACACCTTCAAAACCTTCCCACTTTTACCTCTGTCATTTCCAACTAACATTCGAACCACATCATCTTTTTTTACGTGAATTTTGAATTTCTTACCACTTTCCATGTCTATTTTTTTAATTTCAGAGCGAGAGACGGGGTTCGAACCCGCGACCAACAGCTTGGAAGGCTGTGACTCTACCAACTGAGTTACTCTCGCAATGGATTCATAATACTTCAGGTGCCAAAGAAACTATTTTACCATAATTTCTATCTCTAAGTTCTCTAGCAACAGGTCCAAAAATTCTTGTACCCTTTGGTTCCCCTTGATTATTTATGAGAACAACAGCGTTTTCATCAAACCGAATATACGTTCCGTCTTTTCTTCTAAATTCCTTCTTTGTCCGTACAACCACTGCGCGAGAGACCTCTTTCTTTTTTACATTTCCATCTGGTAAAGCAGTCTTTACTGAAACAACAACAATATCGCCTATTGAAGCGTATCGACGATTTGTTCCTCCTAATACATGGATACATCTGACTTTTTTGCTCCACTATTATCGGCAACCACTAAATTTGTTTCATTTTGAATCATCTCACTTTCTACTTTACTTTTTCAATAATGCTACTTAAGGACCAACTTTTCAAACGGCTTAAAGGTCTAACCTCAACGACACTTACCTTATCGCCAATTCGAGCCTCGTTTTTCTCATCGTGAGCTAAAATTTTTATCGTCTTCTTTAGATACTTTTTATAGATTGGATGTTGCTCACGCCTTTCTATTTTTACAACTATGCTTTTAGCCATCTTATCACTTACGACAGTTCCTATCTTTGCCTTACGATTCCGTAATATTTTTTTCTCATTTTCCACAGAGACCGCAACGGCGCCATTTTCAGCCATATCATTAACCATTGTAAGTTTCATTTTTTGTTTGATTTAAACGCGTCAACATTCGTGCAACATCCTTCCGCATCTCTGTAAAAATCATTGGATTTTGGAGAGGCTCTACTCCTTTATTAAATGATAACGCAGCAATTCTTCGCTTCACTTTTGCAATCTCTCGTCGCAACTCTGACGCATTCATATTTTTAATTTCACTTTTTTTCATTTTAATTCAAAATTATTATGGACCAACGTAATCATTGCGAACTATAAATTTTACTTTTAAGGGCAATTTGGCCGAAGCCAAACGAAATGCCTCGGTTGCCACAGACTTTGAGACACCATCTATTTCAAACAAAACTCTACCTGGCTTAACGGGAGCAACCCAAAATTCAGGAACTCCCTTTCCCGAACCCATCCTAGTTTCTGCAGGTTTTTTTGTAACTGATTTATCGGGAAACACCTTTATCCAAACCTTTCCATCTCTTTTCATAAACCTCGTCATGGCTATCCTCGCTGCTTCTATCTGACGATTTGTAATCCATGCTGTCGAAAGACACTTTAAACCAAAACTTCCAAATGAAACCACTGTACCTCGTGTTTCATTTCCCTTCATCCTCCCTCTCTGCGACTTTCTAAAAGTCGTCTTTTTTGGCATCAACATAGCTTCTTCTTTACACCTATTAATTTTCTCAATTTAATTTCCCCTTTCCTCTCTATTCCGTCCCCTTCGAACATTATTTTGATTCGGTCTATTTCTACCTTTGGGTAAATTTGTCCTTCTGTCTTTCATCTTCTGTTTTTCCTCCTCCTCGAGTGCCTCAATTTTTCTTGCTATTATCTCCCCTTTATATACCCAAACCTTAACACCAACAGTTCCAGTCACAGTAAACGCAGTGCTTTCAGCGTAATCTATATTCGCACGTAAAGTATGCAAAGGTACTTTTCCCCACTTGTAATGCTCTGTCCTCGCAATTTCTATCCCACCAAGCCGTCCAGCAACTTGAACTTTAATACCCAAACAACCGCCCCTTTCTGCCTGTTGCATGGCATGTTTTACTGAACGTTTAAAAGCTATTCTTCCTTCTAATTGTGAAGCTATTGTATCAGCTATCAGTTGACCGTGTATCTCAGGCTTTCGAATCTCTACAACATCAATTTTGACATCCTTACCTGTAATTTTTGCAATTTCTTGACTAATGGCACCAACCTCCTCCCCATTTCTCCCAACAACAACGCCTGGACGAGAGGTATGAATGTGTAGATGTATATTTTTAATCGTTCTTTCAATGACAATTTTGGAAATCCCCGGTTTATATCTTTTTAAGCGAGCAAAGATATAATTTCGAACTATATGATCCCCCTTAATACGTTCACGCATAGAAGAAGTCGCATCAAACCATCTACAATCCCAATCCTTTGTTATTCCTAGTCTAAAACCATTTGGATTTACCTTCTGTCCCATTATTATTTATACATTAATTAATTGAGTTATGTTTTGCAACGATTATTGTCAAATGATTTGATCTCTTACGAACCCTGTAACCCCGACCCATCGGAGCTGGAGAAATTCTTTTAATAGTAAGCCCCTGATCTACAAAAACCTTAGTGACAACAAGGGAAGCCTCAGAAGTACGAGAGTTGTCTTCATTTACACGAAAATAATTTGACACAGCAGAATTCAAAGTTTGCAAAACAGGCTTAGCAGCATGCTTTGTTGCCAAATGTAATATCGCCCTTGCTTCAGTTACCTTTTTATTTCTAATCAAATCCACTACCAATCTCATTTTTCTTGGCGAAGAAGGAAACCCTCTCAATATTGCTCTTGATTCCATTTTAATCTACTTTTTGTTTGGAGTGGATGCCGCTAGTTCTCTTGATCCAGAATGACCTCTAAAAAGTCTTGTAGGAGCAAACTCGCCTAGCTTATGACCCACCATGTTTTCCGAAATATAAACAGGTACATGCATCTTCCCATTGTGTACAGCCAAAGTATGACCCACAAAATCTGGGATTATCACCGAGGATCTTGACCATGTTTTAATAACTTTTTTTTGTTTCTTTTCGTCTATTTCCTTTATTTTTTTCAGCAAACTATAGTGAACAAACGGTCCTTTTTTTAATGAACGTGGCATATTTCCTCATTATTTATTTTTAGATCTCCTGTCTTGAACTATTAACTTAGTTGAAATCTTTTTTCGATCCCTTGTTTTGAACCCTTTTGTCTTTTTTCCCCATGGAGTCTCAGGATGTTGCCGACCACCTCCCGATTTTGACTTACCCTCTCCTCCTCCCATCGGATGATCAACTGGATTCATCGCTATACCGCGAGTTTGAGGGCGTATCCCTAACCATCTTGATCTTCCTGCTTTTCCAAGCGAAAGATTCTCATGTTCGGAGTTGCTTACAACTCCAATAGTAGCTTTACATTCAGACCTGACCTTCCTCATTTCTCCGGAAGGTAAACGCAAAGTCGCGTAACCACCCTCCCTTGCAACCAACGTAGCGAATGAACCCGCACTCCTAGCCATTTGCCCGCCATGACCCATCTTTAACTCTATATTATGTACATTTTCCCCAACTGGAATATTCTGCAAGCGAAGGCAATTACCCGGTTTTATGTCCGCTTTACCGCCTGTTTGTATCAAATCCCCCTTCTTCACACCTTTTGGAGCAATTATATACCTTTTCTCACCGTCCGAATAAAACAACAAAGCAATCCAAGCAGACCTATTAGGGTCATATTCCAACGTCGTCAACCTTGCATCCACATCTTCCTTATCCCTTTTGAAATCAATAACCCGATAGCGTCTCTTATGACCTCCACCTCTATGTCGAGAAGTTATTCTACCAAGATTATTTCTGCCACCACTTTTCTGTAGCGAAGCAAGCAAACTCTTCTCGGGCTTCACCTTATCGAGAGATTCAAACAAAGAGTAAGACAAAAACCGAGAAGCTGGCGAAGTAGGCTTTAAATTTCTAACCGACATTTTGCTGATTATTTTTTTCTAAATTATGAATATCAATAGTACTACCCTTTACTAGCTTTACAATAGCCTTTTTATAATCAGACCTTTGTCCTGTTCTAATCCCACGTGTCGTTTGATGATTTTTAATTTTACCCAAAACATTAATTGTTTTTACCGAAACTACACCAACTCCGAATCTACTCTCAACTGCCCTCTTAATCTCTCCTTTCTCAGAACCTTTCTTTACTCGAAAAGAATAATGACCTTGCTTCTCAGAACTTTTCATAGACTTTTCAGTTAGCAATGGACTTATCAATACACTCATGATCATCTACATCTACAACAGTAGAAATTAAATATTATTTTTTAACATTTTCCCAATATAAACAAACGCATTTTTTTGGAAAATCAACCTCTCACAATCTAACAAATCATAGCTTGAAGCTAACTCTACTTGCTTAACACTTAAAGACTTCAAATTTCTACCTGATTTAAACAAAACCTCATTTTTACCCATAGTCAAAAACAAGGTTTTTACGCTAATCAAGCCAAAATCACGAATGAAACTCAAAAAGTACTTAGTTTTTATTTCATCAAACGTAAAATCCTCGACAACAAGAATCTCGTTATCTTTCAATTTAGCGCTAAGGACAGATCTTCTCGCTAACGACTTCACTTTTTTATTTATCTTAATCTTGTAATCTCGTGGCATTGGTCCAAATATGCTACCACCCCCAACCAAGAGCGGCGACCTCTCCGACCCCCTTCTTGCACCTCCTGTACCTTTCTGCTTATATGGCTTTCTGCCTCCACCTCTAACCTCCCCTCTACCCTTAACCTTATGCGTACCTTGGCGACGCGCAGCCAATAAAGACTTTACATCCAAATATACCGAACTCTCACTTGGCTCAATGCCAAAAACTCCCTCATCAAGGCTTATCACTTCGCCTGTTTCTTTTCCATCACGACCAAAAACCTTCAACTCCAACGACATAAACTTATCTTTTCTTTGATGTAACTATCTGAACGTAACCCAACCTCTTACCTGGAACAGAACCTTTCAAAACCAAAATGTTCGAATCAATAACTATCTTAACAATCTGTAAATTTTTAGCTGTAACTCTATCGGATCCCATTCTCCCAGCCATTCGTTGACCTTTAAATGTTCTCGATGGAAAAGACGATCCCCCAACTGAACCAGGCGCTCTTAACCTGTCAGACTGTCCATGAGTTCTGGATCCTCCGCCAAAATGGTGACGCTTCACAACACCGGCAAAACCCTTACCTTTTGAAACACCAATAATATCAACAAATGAACCCTCCGTAAATACGGAAACGTTTAATTTGTCGCCTAACTTCAAATCAC